TATTTAGGAAGCGGTGAAAACGTCTGCCCAAAATTACTAATTAAAAACACTATGAAGTCGTCGTGGCCTAAAGGATAAGACGTCCGGTGCATTCGTATGTAGCGATGCACCGGCGTTCGAATCCCGCAGGCGGGTACCAATTTTTCTAATGAAATACGAACTTAACAATTGTTCACGATTGACTTCCACGGTGAAGGAATAACATCGTGTTATAAAAATCAAACCCGCAAAATTATAATTTGCGTAATCACTGGTGGTAGGACCTCTTGTGAGTCCGCACGGGTAGGTACCACCGCCCCGCCTATTTCTGCCGTGAAGCAGTAATGCGTTTCGGTTTGAAGGGTGGGGCAGCCGTTGTAGCTATACTGAGACCTTAGAACTTATATCTCAAGGTGTGTGGCGCATTTACGTTGTAGATGTCTATGGGCTCCAGTAACCACTTAACACCAGGTGGGTTGTGAGCTCGTCCACACATCTAAGCAATAAAAAAAAACACTTACCATGCGCCGTTGCATCGCACGATATGAAAACTGCGAACGTTAAACAAAAAAATATGTTCATTTTAATATTTGTTACGCACGAGTTTCTCACGAAACAGAGTTGACTCGTTGAGCTGTTAGACACGAATGCGGCACTTGACGCCACAATGCAGTTCGATTTAATGTGAGATAATATTAAAAACCATACTAACGTTGTGAAAAAGAAAGTTCAGTATTGTCTTAACAACGAGCAGTTGCTACAAATGTCAGACATCTCAAGGCTCAAAATTGCTCTCACATAGCAATGGGAGAATATTTATCAAAATCGTATAAGAAACTGGGTGTACAACGTTTTGGCGTTAACGCAGTAATGGAATCACGAGGAGGCAATGAAAAGTATTAAAATTCAAGATTTAAGATTCAATATTTTTACTGGTGGTAGGACCTCTTGTGAGTCCGCACGAATAGGTACGATTACCCCGCCCATTTCTGCCGTGAAGCAGTAATGCGTTTCGGTTTAAAGGGTGGGGCAGCCGTTGTAACTATACTGAGACCTTACAACTTATATCTCAAGGTGGGTGGCGCATTTACGTCCACCCTCCTAAGCAATTAAAAAAAAAACATCTCATGGCTCAAAATTGCTCTCACATAGGAATGGGAGGATATTTGCCAAAATCGTATAAGAAACTTGGTGTAGAGCATGCCAAGCCGCGTTAAGGTAGTAATGGAAGCACGAGGAGACAATACAAAGTATTAAAATTCAAAAAAAATCATCATATTGTTGTACAAAAATGTAATGTTTCATATTATTGTTTTAAGGCGAGATCAGCTATTTTTTTTTTTATGTAATTTTTATAAAATAAAATGCTTATAAATTTTATTACTTTCATTTAAGGGGTATTATTATATTGTCTATTAAACACCGTTTATTTTATTATATATCGACTATACTTAGTCTGGCCACAAATACTGTTACAATCCAAAATAAAAAAATATATATTGCAAATAACATTTATTACTTTTACAGTGTGTTAGTTTAATACATAAATGTAAAACAATTTAAAATATAAAAAGCTTATTCGAAGTGAGCTCCATTCGCTGCAATACAGTCCTTTAAACGTTGAGGCCAGTTATCAATAGAAACACGCACTCTTTCCATGGGAAAATTTTTCACTGCTAATCGTACGGATTGTTTTAGGGACTCCAAATTATCATTTCGTTTGGAGCAAGCCGTACTCTTTAAAACTGACCATTAATCATAATCCAGCGGATTAAGATCGGGACTAGACGACGGCCAGTCTTCAGCTCTGATGAAGTCCGAAACGTTCGTTTCCAACCAAGACTGCGTAGACCGAGCTTTATGACCTGGCGCCGAGTCTTGCTGGAAGGACCATTCTTGATTATTGAACATGGTGTTGTTAAGGGGCTTCACTACCTTCTCAAGAATGGTATCTTGATACACTTGTGCCGATGTTTTGATATTTTTTTCACAAAAGTATTGCTCAATTGTAAAAAATTTTTCATCCGTAAACAAAATTTTTCTATGACCTCCCTTTGCGTACCGCTTCAGTAGTTGTTTCGGTTTTACCACCCTATTCTCTTTTAAATTATCCGTTAAGAAATGACCGGTACCTCTCTTAGGCTGCAAGTCCTAAGTCAGTTATAGCCCGGTACACAAACATTTTACTAATACCAAGCGTATGGAGAGTTTTAAATTTGCATTTGGCTCCATACCTACTTTGTGTAATGCAATCACGGCGATTCGGTTCTCTTTATCACCCCACTCCATTTTAATATCGCAAAATATTGTACAATATATTGGCGCCACATTAAGAAAACTCAATGAGCAATCATATAAAAATGACAGATTCCAAATGTAATATTTTGTTTATTTTTAATTGTAACAGTATTTATGGCCAGACTAAGTAGTTGTATGTGTGGTTCTATAAGTTTGAAATGACTAACGTAAGTGATACAATTCTAACTGAAGATTATGAAAAGCGTAGTAAGAAGTACTGGAACAAAAATTATTAAAGAAATAACTATAGTAAAATTTTTCATAGAAACAAACGGCACTTACTATTTGTTGTTTATAGATACATTGAAGAAACCTTTTTTATTTATTAGTTTTTGGATAGTTTGGAAAACCCGTGCCCGATTCGGTCTGAAGTGATCACAAAGGGAATGACACCAGCATTAGCCCTCAAATCATGAGGTAGTACGTAGGAATATATTCGTCAGATCCATCCACATTAGTAGTTTCAAGTTAATTGATAGTAAAAGCCACCTATTAACCAAATTTAAACCATTGTTTGAGACTCCTTTAATTTGATTACCAGATTTATAAGTAAATTATTTGAACATTTTCCATATAAATATTAAATAAGGCAATCGATCAAGATTGCTTTTAACCAAATCCTTGTAATTTCTTCACATCACTGACTACAATAAAATTCAAAATTCAAAAACTCAAAGCAATTTACCTACGCCGGGCTAATACATAAAGTTACGCATCCCGGCACCACCTTTTCTAAGAGGTAAATTTACCAAATACATCATAAACTTCTTGAAAGACTTCCGTGATGAAGGAATAACATAATAATGTGATCCTTTATCATAAAATAAATTAGTAAAAGTTGAAACCCACAAAATTCATAAATTTGTGTAGTCACGCCCGGCTAAGTACAACGATGTTGCCTATTCTTAATAGTTTGGTAAGCCGACATGCAATAGAAACTCCATAACTTAAGGGGGGTGCGGTATTCACTTTGCGATATCAATGGTAATCACTTGACAAAAGGTGGATCGTGAACTCAATCGCAATCTAGAGAGAAAGTGAGAAAGAATCTGCATATTAATACGTGAAGCAAAAACTTTGTATCCCTTTTTACGGAAATTGCGCGGACGAAGGAGTATGAAATTTTCCACACTTATAGAGAATATAAAGAAGAAGTGCACAATGCTAATATTTTTAAATCAATAAAGAAAACATTACACACACTACATACCATGTATTTGACGCACACACGCATGCATACTATTTATTATCAAACTTTTGTTCTTGACGTCTGTGGTCAAATTGTGAATAGAAATATTGTTTGTCTTTATTAATATTTTTTATAGTGTAGCCTTGACGAAATTTGTGATTATAGAAGTATAAAATACAATCATAATAGTGTACAAACTTACAATTCCAATTAATTATAGTCGAATTTCGACTACTGCGGGACCTCTAGTATACTATTGCACATGAAAACGCAATTAACAGTAAAAAACAGTCAACAGACAGGTTTGTACAATAGGCTTCTTAATTCTTAGCGCTAAAAGCGATTCATTTACAGAAATTCTGAAAAAGATAGAGCAGGTATGTTGCGGTATATGTACCATTAACCATATTATCTACAGTGGGCAAGATAGGCCAAGCCATTACACACATTATTAAAGAAAAGCTATAATATATAAAATAAACAGATATATTATATACCGCTTACATATAGGAATTGTAGTGGAATATAAAAAAAATTTGAACACACACCCATTTTATTTTTCACTAGTTGACCCGGCAGACTTTGTAGTGTCTCAATCGAGAAATAAAAGACCTAAACTTTTGTATAAAATAAACATAAAACAAACAAAATGAATCCGTCCGACGGGGGACACGTCAAAGGAAAAACAAAATTTTTATTTTTATTTAATTCCAAGCCTTTTTCATATCTATCTATCTTTTAAACCTTCTCTGGACTTCGACAAATAATTCAAGACCAAAATTAGCCAAATCGGTCTAGCCGTTCTCGAGTTTTAGCGAGACTAACGAACAGCAATTCATTTTTATATATAGAGATAGTTCTCTAGAAGGTACGCTAGAAGGTACTCTAGAAGGTACGCTAGAAGCTTCTAGCGTAGAAGGAAATCACGACTTCGAAATCTTCACTAAGCATACTCCGACATGCAATTGTTCACTTCCGACTGCCAAGAAGCGCATTAAGTAGGTATGTACACGGAACTTTGACGTAACCGTATGCATAAAAATTAGGTCAGGCGTTACAGCCACCGACTCCTCTATACTAAAGAATGGGTTTTACTCGATGAATGAAATTTCTACGATAATACGTGTCTTAAAAGAAATAATTCAGGGTTTGGTGGGGTATATCATCATACATTTAGATTTAGACGAATTTAGTTGTTGTTAAGAGAGTGTTAACTATGAATGTGGAAGGATTTAGAGGAAGAGGTAGACCTAAGAAGAAATGGATGGATTGTGTGAAAGACGATATGGGTAGGAGGGGAATGAGCGAAGAAATGGTATATGATAGAAGAGTATGGAAGGAGAAAACATGTTGCGCCGACCCCAGGTGACTGGGAGAAGGGCAGGATGATGATGATTTAGATTTAGACGAAAAGAAAACACAGAAGACAATATCTACATATGTGTGAAAATAAAACAATATAATTACAGATTTAAGAAAAAAACCGTGATATGCTTAATATAAAAATTTAGATAATGGTATGTTAAGGAGCGTTTCAAAGAACCTGAGTCTTAATTGACGAATCCATGACGTTCTGAATCCAATTCAAATTTACGACAACATCAACATAGAAAGTGACACAAAACTTGTTAATCTCTACGTCAGAGCAGCTCTGTGTTATTATGCCGTGAAGTCGACCTTCTGAAATCAATGGTCCCCCAGAATCTCCGGAGCCAGCCCTGACCGCGCCAACAGAACACAGTAAATCAGTACCAATAGTGTATTTGCAGTCAATTATCCGCACTGCACCTTCTCTCGGCTTGGATGCATTAGACTCGGACTTGCCGTAACCCGCAATGATTCCTACTTGTCCAAGCTCCATCGGGTATGAAGCCAATAGTACTGGTTCTATATTATCATTAAAGATAATCGGACGACGAGTTTTCAACAACGCCAAATCATTTTCCTCATTACTCACGGTTTTCGAACCCTTCACGAAGCCCTTATTGAACACATTCTTAGGATCGACTCTGGCAATAAGCTTGGTTGTAAAATATTCACTCGTGTGGTAAACTCGAACGCTTCTCAGCGGTCCCATGACGCAATGGGCCGCTGTTAATATCCAATTTTTATCAATAATAGAACCGCTGCATCGCCTATTTATCTTCATTAGTGGACTAGTAAATTGTGAACATAAGCGAACCAAATATTTTTGCGAATGAATTGGTACGAGTTCTCCTTCGTACACTCTACGCTCTAAGCAACCCGAGTGTTTTATTAAAATGGCGAGTAATAACCAAAAAGAACGCATTTTAAGCCCCAGTTGTTTATCAAGTTAAGTTACTTTTATATAGCGCTAGTTGTTACGCCAGGAATGTTTGAACAAGTAATTTGAAACTTCTGTACAATTAATTGCCTTTAGTAAAATACATATTTGACAGCATAATTAAAGAAAGTATTCGCTTCCTTTGTACATAGTAAAGTAATTCTTGAAATATTTGCATATAGATAAAACAAAATACCGCTTCATTGGTCTAGTGGTCAGTGATGCTAACTTATATGCTCAGTTGGAGACTTTTTTTTCCTGCCTAATCTGATAGTCTTGAGAAGCTAATTCAGCGTAACCTTAACTAGTAGGTGAGCTCACGCGGCTCAAACCTGACGACGTTGCTAACACGAACCCTAACAAGTCCGAGCCCTTCATCGCAAGCGACGGGTTCGGCGAGAACGATGACCGGGGAGTCAGTATTGTTATTACTAATGTATAGAAAATGGAAAATGTTTGGATTTGTTCTTAAAAATAAATAGCAACGTGAAGTAAAACAGTAAAAATTTTTGAATTACTTTCAAAAGTGGACAAAAGGAAGTCAAACATGCTGCCGACCGGTAGCGGTGAAGAAGAGGGTCCCTAATCTTAACGCATACATACAGTTAATTTAACGGAGATTAATATTAACAAACGATACACGAAGCAGAGGCCTCTCTACTGCATTGTTGTGGATACAGCGAGGATTGAGTCCGGCCCCTCGCCACGGCCGGTCTTAGCGACAACATCGGACTCCCCGACAACAATTACAAAGAACTTCTTTATATACTCAAATTTTTGGGAATGTTAATAGCGCGATTCAGACCCCTGCGTCAGCGGTCCAGCACTCGTAATTTTATTTCGTGCCGTTCCACTCGGCGCGCTTGTGGGGCAAAAAAACGCAAATGGTGATTTGGACGTAGCGGTAACTGTTGATCTTATCGTTGGATGTAACAAAGCAAAAACAGCTTTAATTTTAGTTGTCAGAACAATCAAAATGGATTGAACATTTAAAATGCTATTAACACTCAAAGATCTATTTACATGGTACTGGTTGGTTTGTTTTTTGCAGTAGGTGGACTACTATGTGAATTATCTGATAGAAAATGACTATCACACCTACTGTCTATAACTAAGAACTTCAATGAAACCTTATTTCAATTAGGATTTATCACAGCCTTTGAGAACACAGAGGGAAAGATTATGCCAAAAGCTTATTTAAAACTGAAACATAGTTATTCATATTCTTAGAAATTTTCGATTGAAGAACACCATTTTGTTCCCCGTTATCTAAAATGTTTAATCTTAGTCTGAACTACGTAGAAGAGACAGCTAACTGTAATCTCTAATATATTTTATGGTAAATTTGGAAAGTTAGTGATTTAAGAGCTTGAAATTGGAAATTAGATATCTGGAAACCTGAAGGATGTTCGTAAAATCTTTCGAACAATTTCTTCCCGGATCATTTTTTTCATAGAAACTATTTCATGTTTCTTGGTTATACAGACCGTTTTTCCTTGATTCGGTGGTACGAAGTAGCGAAAACAATATAGTGATCTATGACAATTGCTTCCACATAGGTTCCTCGAAGTGGTCGACCGGAAAAACAGACCAAGAAAAAGCATAAAAAGTTCTTTACGTTCTTGTTGAACTTTGAAAACAGTTTGCATTCAAATAAAGAGCTTTTTTGCCTCCTCTCGCTCAAAAACCCACGTTCGAACCTCGCATGAGACAGAATCCATGAAAAGGTAAACAGGGGAGAGTAAAGCGCTTAGTGCGTAGCACATCTCTCCCATCACCCTCCCCCTCGGGACGCCGGACCGGCGGTCGTCGGCGCCACGACCACCAGCCCTCTCGGTCGGCAGGCTATCCGGAGCACGCCTAAATGGCGCCGGTTAGAATGGGTTATCCTACAGAATACCTCGCTGGGTCAGAACCAACGTGGGTCGAGGATAGCCGGCCTTCCATGACCCGAATATTCTTGCCTAAAACGCGTGGAGAGCAGCATGCACGTCGTCTTCTTAGGCCCCCCTTGCTGGTCCCCAGACCGACATGTGAAGAAACCCGTAACACTTAGAGGGCCTTAGAGGGCTTTGGGCGAGGTCCACCTCCCAGGCCCCCGCTCGACGGCGGCGGGCTTGCGCATCTATTACGCATCCCGCTACCTCCTTCTGCGAGATGGTGCACTCGCAGAAATCGAACATCGCCTTCCACGACTCGTCCCCGCCGAGCATCGATGCCACAACACTCAGCAAGTAATTTCCTATTTTCGCGACGAGGTCACAGCGCCACCTCTCCCGTGCGAAGCAGACGACAAGCGTGTACTCCGCCGTATCCAAGTCGCAACCACAATGGTAGCACTCTGCCATCGGCTGGGCTCCGATCCGGTGCAGGAACTCACCGAAGCAACCATGCCCAGTGAGCACCTGTTTGAACCGGAAAGTGAGGCGTCCTCTGTAACGATTCACTCAATCCACAAGGACCGGGCGAATCGCCTCGACGGTCCTACGACCGAAGGATCGGCCAGCCGCCTGGACCATAGCTCCAGCACGGACCGCCGAGATTGGGCCCTCGGCGCTCTGACCACATTGGGGCTGGGACATGCCACGCCCCGGACACGAAGGTCAGCCCCACTGATAGCCGGCGGCGAGCGCCTCCGCCTACAGGACCCCAATAAAGAGCTAGCTGGTTTTCTTAGGACATAAATGGACTGATCGGCAGTAACGACTAGTTCAGGTTCGCAACACGGTCTTGCCACACAAAAATCATGCAAAATGATCATAAAAAATCATAACAGTATTTTTAATTAAGTTCATATGGAACATTATTAACAGCCCTTATTATCTTATCGAACCTTAATTTTGTTAATGAACAATTTAGTTTCACTGAAGAATATCTATGGAAAATTTTAAAAATTACATTGGTTGATTTCTTGATTGCGTCCTCGTAAAACTCCACCGGGATTCAAGTCTTATCTAGTTAAAAATGAATCGGGGAACAATGTAAAACTTAGGTATATTAAAATGTTTTAGCTTCCAAGATATTCCTCATAATTCTCTTCTTCTAAATCGCATAAAATTATCCATTTGCCATTATATCCTTGTGGATTTATCTGAACACATGCACAGATTTGAAGCTGCAGAAACTGCTTTTGAATTTAAAATTTAATCATACTTCAAGAATACAATATTCATATACATATTATGGAAACTGGGTCTGCGGAGGGACATAGTTTCTCTCTGTATTTTGTACCGTGTGTTCTATGGGGAATGCCCTGAGGAATTGTTTGAGACGATCCCATCGTCTCATTTTTAACATCGCACCGCCCGTCATCAGATTAGACTTCTTTAAAGCCTCTGCGTTCTTCCACACTGCATTTCCAGGGATCTTTTCTGCCACGTACCATCCGGCTTTGTAATAAGCTCATCACTACGATGTTTCCTGAGTTCTATGAACTTCTTCTTCTTCTGACCTTATAAGAATTCTTTACGGAGGGAAGGAGCTTAGCTCTGCCCCTAGAATTGCTGACATTCATAATTGATGGTGACCACTCACCATCAGATATGCCTTGGGGTCGGGCCGTATGCTCATCTGCCGACAAGGGCAATAAAGATAATATAAAAAAACAGCTTTCTCGACGGTTTTTTTTTTACAGTTTCACGGGTTTTTTTTTTTTTGCTAAGATGGGTGGACGAACATAACGCCAATCTGGTCATAAGTGATCACCGGAGCCTACAGACATCAACCACGTAAATGCCGCCACCTGCTTTAGGACACAACATGACAAAACTGTAAAATACTAGAAACGTTGAATGGGCTGAATGGCGATCGCTCACCAGAAAGCGCTGTATGGGTAGGCTTCTCACAAGGTTGACCGAACGGTGGGCTGAAAATGGCAGAAATCCGTTGGATGCAGGTTGGCTCAACCGATTATTGTGACGAACCTTGGGGGAGGCATATGTCCAATAGTGACCAAGTAAAATTTCACTTAATCACAGCCACAATTCGTCTATCTAACCTTTACTTCTGCAGCCGAACATTAATGTTTTAAAGTTGATAAAACCGTTCCTATTAGAACAATTCAGACTTCGGCTTAGTGTTGCAACACAAATATCTTAAAAGTATATTAGACTGATACTTGATAACGAAGGATGAAAGGTTATATGGTGTAAGAAAATACTGATGGAATGGTTTCATTTTTCAATTATCGCAATTATTGTTGCTATAAACAATTGACACCACATTCACTTTTCACTGAACTTCATACTTGACGAAAACATGTAAATGTATTATTGTATAGCAGCTGTCCACGCGGATGCATCGCTCACTCAAGTAAGAGAGAGACAGATGTCGAACGCTGCCAAACGCGGAGGCCGATTGTGCCTCTTTGTCGCTCGTTGCGCGCTCTCGCTTGTACTTCAAGCCTTAAATGGAACGCCTCAGAGCGAGGCAACGCCGCATGCGTCATTTTGTTTCGTGCGTGCAGGCGGTTCCATCGAATTATAAGACGTGGTCACATCAAAAACTTCTTCAGCTATTTGAATGGAGTAAACTTAATTGAAGTTCAATTGAAAACATCTAATTGGGGGCCATCCATAAAGTACGTCACACGTTAATGGGGAGGGAGGGTATCACCGAAGTGTGACATCGTGTGACAAGGGGCATGGGGGGTCAATACTTTTGTGACGTCACATGTTAAAATTTAAAATACTAAAACGCAAAGCTTGTATGTGAATTAAAAATTTTAAAAATTTACAAACTTGATCTATATTTATTAATAATTTAGCATTCTCGCTGAAAATAGCTGTTTTCTCTCGATTATTTTTAAATACATACATAAATTTAAAAAATGTGTGACGTCACATCAGGAGGGGGTGTTATAAAAATGTGACAACCTGTGACAAGGAGGGGGGGAGGGGTTCAAAAGTCCTAAAATTCGTGTGACGTACTTTATGGATGGCCCCTTGTTGATGCTAATCGGCATCATATTTACATTTATCAAATGAAATCGCAATATACATACGAGTATAATATATATCGATCATTCTAGATGTGGGAGATCGTAATACTCTAAAAACTGCAAAAACTTATCTTAATTTACTGCTAATTCAGCGTCGTTAATCAAGCCAGTCCCGATCGAATATGGTTCAGATATCAATTAGGTGGAACAAAGCAATTGATCAGTCAGTTCTGTTTTTTGTGGTTACCGACCGACTTGTCGATCTTGACAAAACCCAACAATTTATCATTAATGGCTTACTACACAAAAAACCTTAGGATTCGTAAAGGAAATTTATTGTCTTGGTCTAAAATTGTCTAAAATGATATTTATTGTAATTTTTTGGTGCATTTAATGAACAATATTTGTTTCTAAACTTTACACATCATGAGTACGATGGCCAGTTTTATGCGCAAGTGTTCTTCAAAAGCAATAAAAAAAGCTGGAGTCTAACTATTGGTGATTACCAGTCATTTATTTATAAAAAAAACGTGTGGCACTCGGGAACTGCCGCGGTAAAGCTATTGCATAACATTTTCTATCAACTTATGCAAATTTTAATTAGACAACGATAATTTAATATTAAAACAATATTAAAACAAGACTACGCTATATTAAACATTAATAAAAGCAATACCTTAACTGTCCCCTTCACACTCATAAGCTAGACCGCGCGAGAGAGAGATGGGCAGACTTTTCATGATGCGCATGCAGTGTGACGTCACGCCACGCGCTTATTCACAAACACTACACAAGCACAACGTGTGAATGTGTTGAACGCGAGCTACATGGTAGGCAGAGTGAGGGGTGTAAGGTTTTTTTCGTTACGGAATTTCATGATTCGGTCGCCGCGCTCAAGGCCCGCGATAAAATCCATGCAATAGCTTAATAAAAATATTATTTCAAACCACTTAATTATATGAGAAACTCAAATTCGATAGTCGAACTACTGCCACCATTTTCAGAGCGAAATTCGCTGAAAAATTAATTTGGTGAGCGAATTCAATTAAAATGATAATTAAGTGGAGCGAATCATACCTGCGGTGCTTTTAACCTCGATGAGTGTACGCCTCGTGACGTCATACGATATTAAAACCGTTTTTTATAAATAAAGCGAAAACGCAAATGTAATTGAATCTTTTGATTAAATTTGCGTTTCGTCGTTTTTTGCGGCATCATCATGAATGGATTAGGAGTGAATGATACCGTGTTAAAGAAACGAAAAGAGGAGTGGAAGGCTTATTTTTTGGGATACGTAGCGCGTAGTTATGGGATAGATAGATAGATAGATAGATACTTTTAGTGGACAGATTCTTTTTTTAATTATTTCGATGCAGTTTAAAAACGCAATTGTCATTGTTTACATTAATTGTTAGATTCGGATGTCTGAAAAGATTAAGATGCGTCCCCAATCCCGAACATCTTGGTACTTTTGGAACGAAGTTCCTTATGGGACGATGCGGAGAAGTGCCCTGACCGGGAAAAAACGTCCGTAACGTAAGATTGTTATTAGTAATGCACACAGTGTATAATAGCCGGCAAACTTCTTGAGCATTTGTTGACGTAGTGGGGGTAAGTTTGCGCATGGTACACTCACGTGCAAAAACATTACTTACTCTGCGTCATAATGCTATTAAATTATTAAAATCAACATATGTATTTATTTATATATTTATTAGAACATCAACAAAAAATATAGGTTAATAATTGTAATAATTTAATCTTGGGGTAAAATAGATATTCCTTCTATTAAGTCAAAACTAGAGCTGTTGCCAGGTCTTCGTTCAGTTGAAGCGAAGCTGGTATTTGTAAATTTTTTTTCGTTATCATAATCTTGACCATTATCATCATCACTGTTTTCATCACCCGAGTCGCCATCATCGTGATAAGTCGACATAGGGCTCATCGGTGTAGTTTACGACTCGGTCGGTTCGATCTTCTTTTTTGTCTATAATTAATTATTTTTTGAAGATATTCGATTCGTAGTAATCGAATGTTACTTTTTTCAATTACCAGCTTCCGATTATTTTTTTTTTTTTTTTTCCATCTGAAGCCTAGCTCTTTCATAATTCGTCGTAAACTTCATTCCGAGCCATTAAAATGTATATCTTCTTTAAAATTTTCGAAGCCTTTCTACGGTACGGAGTTTCGCTGCTTGTTATGTAGTTATTATGATTACATCTTTTTATTACAGATTGAACGAAACTATCCATTCCGGTAACTTTCTTCTTCCCTGATCTTTTCTTACCCGGAGTCCCAAGCACGATGAGCAAGCCAGAGCCTTTAGCTTCGTTAATAATGCACCTAACAGTACTCACTGATGTTTTTGTTGCTTCCGAAGTCTGTTTTACTTTTTCCATAATATCATTCTTCCCCTGTTTTATAATGAAGCAATATACGTCGTACACAATTTTTCTACCCTTTCTTTTGAATACTACACCAGTTTGTCGCGGCATAGTGTATTTTTTATAAAAAATCAACAAACACTCAACAAATAGCAATGGCAACAAAGTCAACAAGCAATTATAACAAAATATAACTTAACGATTAATAACGATAGATTTTTCACTGTACGCAAGCGTACTTTTGGGAGCAAGCGGAACGAAGGCGCGGTGCGGGACGCAAGGTTCGACTGATCTACCAATAACGCGCTCGATACGATTTCCCCTGCCGTCGCGCCTCACCCTCACCACCAAAGTGATCTAAAATTCAGTTCTGCGCAGTCAAGGTCATTTGCTCACGATGTTTGCCGGTAACTATACGACTTAACTTTGTAATAACGTACAAATTAGTAATGCACACAGTGTACGACTTATCTTTGTAATAACGTACTAACGTGGTGTCGTGGGACACCGGATAAGAACGAAGTTCCTTATTATAAAAGTCCCATAAGGAACATCGTTCCAAAAAAAAAAGATTAAGTCAAAGAGATTAAATATTAATTCGTTAAATTTCATTAAAAATCCTCTCAATTTAACCCCATTTCATTTTACAATTCAGTCGTCTCACTTGAAACAATTCCGGTTAAATTGTCGCGTACGCAGCTCATGACTAATTCAAGGAGTTCTCCAACGGAACTCACGCCGAAATTTGCGTACGAAAAATAAACGGAAAGAGTTATTGCAAATTGGTACTCCAGATACACGAGGGTATTTCACAGATGTACTTTTTTCTTTTTTTTTTGCTACGGTTCACACATCATATTCTGACTTTCAATGGCTATGTACACATGATTTTTTTATTTAAAGACTAAAATATATTGGCTTCCTTTTTATTATAATAAAATTGCGAGTGTTTCAGTCTGTTTGTTCGCTATCAATAAGCTATTTCATTCGAAGCTGATCGGTACTATTTTGATTTGATAGTTAGTTATGTGATTTTATAATTTTCAGTAGCAGACGGTCTAGTGGATTTCGAGTAGTTTTTCTTGATAAACCACTGTCTATCGCACCAGTGTAGAATTGTGTAGATAGATGGGTGTACTTGTTTATGTCCAATCTATAACAAAATAGGCGTTGAATATAAAAAGTATATTTTGTTATCGAGCCAAATCATAAACGGTTTTTTTGTCTGTCGAGTTATGCTGGTTATGCCGGCTTCACCGAAAATGTAGGTAAGCTCACGGATTTCAGCCTAGGAAATTTTGCTAAGATCTGCCCTAGCAAGAGCAGTGCTTCGCTGAATCTACAACCGGATCGGAATCGCGACCCACTGAGAATATCTAGAGAGAAACTCAGTGAGCTGTGGGTTTTTTACAAGACGAACCCTTCGCCTCATTCGACGAGAATGGTGACCGTTGCTTAGAATGCCTAAAAGCACTGCGAGTGGTACACGAGGATCCGAATTCATCACAACAATCATTTAACCAGACATGAACATATATATCTAAATCTTTGTACTTCTTATGCAGGTGTTATCGTATTTTTACTGGTATATCCTTACTGGTGATAGGACCTCTTGTAAGTCCGCGCGGGTAGGTACCACCACCCTGCCTATTTCTGCCGTGAAGAAGTAATGCGTTTCGGTTTGAAGGGTGGGGCAGACGTTGTGACTATACTGAGACCTTAGAACTTATACTCAAGATGGGTGGCGCATTTACGGTTGTAGATGTCTATGTGCTCCAGTAACACAAACACCAGGATGTGAGCTCGTCCAGCTATCTAAGCAATAAATAAATAAAACTTCTGAAAAAAACATTATGTCGAGCCCTTTATTCCTTATAATATCACATTAATAACCGCAAGCAAAGCTGCTTACTAAAGGCTTCACTCCCCGATCGCTTCACCGTTACGGCAGTAGCCGACGCCACACTGCGACGGACGTACGCGTCCCGGCGAATCGAAAAAACATCGCAACTACAACAAAAGTAAAATAAAACTCTAATATGCCTCCACTAAAGTACACTTTCGAGGTTTGTGAATGAAAAACTTTTATGTCGTTTTTAAACTATACGAGCTATGGAACTTTTTATCGTAATACCATTATGATAAGATAAGTTTTTCATCGGTGGTGGATAACAGAGTGACCCTCGCAGGAGTCAGCCCAATTTAAAGTTATCAGGTAAGTTACTATCGTAATTTAACTTTCACAACCCGTGAAAGGTCAGTTTTATGACAGTGCCCTAACAATATGTAAGTTTAAGTTAAAATGGGCTTGCAACAGCTCAATATTCCGAAAGAAGGTCCACTTCAAATTCCATCAAAGAATAAAACGGCACGTTCTGAATTATAAATTAAAAAAACAGATTTTTAGAGAAATTAAACGTAGAGCTTAAGTGATAAACCTGCTTAGATCTAGGCCTTTTTGTTTTTGTTTTACATACAACATTGTTGAACTTTGTCTATGACATTCAAACCTCACAACAGTGAAGTGGAAATACTCGTATAATTAAAGATATTCCATTCCTATACTTTAAGAATGACAAAAGAACTTCGCTTGCATCGTTCGATGTAGGTCTTAAAAATGATTTCAATGTTCCTAAAACCGTATTAGATAAAGATACGAACCGCTTTTATTAATCAGGCATTTTAATATTTTCAAGATCTTCACCAAGAAATGCTTCGCAAGAATGATTATGTTGTTAAAATTTTGTTTGAAACTGATTAACTTTGAATTTTAAAACATGATCGTTTATTTAAACTACGAAACTTATTTGACTAATATTAAAACATTTTTGAAATATTAATCTTCTACATTTTCCACTTCGCCTTCACAAATTCCCTTCGATCTTCATATTAACATAAGAGTTTTCTCTTCAAAAGGCGTGCCCATCGCGCTATCAACACCGATAGCTGATCAATACAGCTTAATAGAACATCTGACAGAACAAATGACAGGCTTGATTATAAAACATCTATTACGCTCTGCATGATGCGTCGAAATCAATCGCGTTGACACCGCCATAGAATCCGGTCATTATTCAAACGATCGCATCAAAGATGATGATTGTTTTAAAAATGGCATAAGTACGATAAGTTCGCTGCTTAGCGTCTTCTGGCATTTCTACGAGCAACCATAACAATTCACTGATTCGACAATACTGGCCATCTGCCTTTGATGACAATAAAACAGTGGCTACACAGGGACATTGACCATAAAATCTAGAGCCGGCCTCTCGTTGAAATAACTTGATTTTGTAGGTCTAAAAGAGCCAAAGTAATGTTTTAAAAAATATATATACTATGACAAATTAAAAATTTTTTGAACTTTCGCGACTACGTACATAATTGCTACTGCGTCTACCCGCGAAAATCTGTATAGCAGAAATTCAATAAATGTGAAACTTCTGGTCAGAGCCAATTAAATAATGGTATGTAAGTACTAAAACTTGGAGAGACATGGTATAAAATGTTTATTTATATTGTAACAACCATCCTATCTATTTCTGTCGTAAAACAGTAATGCGTTTCGGCTTGACGAGTGGGGCTCAAGTGGGGAGTGTCGTTGTACTCAATCTGAAAACTGAGACTTAGATAGAACTCATGTCTCAAGGTAGGTCGTGGCAATTACGTTGTTATTGTCTATGTTCTTCAGTAACCCCTTAACATTAGGTCGAGCGTAAAGTCATCCATCTGGATAAGCAATAAAAAATCCACACACTTAAATGACCGTAAGTTTTTTTTTTTTTTAAGACAGCTTCGAGACATCAAAAGCACAAACGAAGCTAAAAACTACGGAAATATGTAAAAATGTAACTACTACATATATGTATATACACATGTACATACAATAACATCAGCTTTTCCGTGTTAAAGTTCTGATCAACATCTTCACATTGTTCTATTATTAATGGAACGAGATACCTTAATTCGGTTTGTGCTAAAAAGGGGCTTGACTGATGCAAATCGTCACGTAACCTTACGCCCTGGCTCTCGACTTGACCATTCAAATGTGATCTTTAAATAAATTACTATAAAGACTAGTCTCCGATGTAATATTAACCGGAAACTCACATTTATAAATCTCGTTCTTATAACAGTGGAGTTAAAATCGATATTTCGAAATATTGATGTCATTTGTCTTTTATTTAATACTAGCTGACCCGGCAGACTTCGTAGTGTCTCAAACGATAAACAAAAGACCTAAACTTTCGTATAAAATAAACTTAAAACAAGCAAAAGGAATCCGTCCGACGGGGGACACATCAAAGAAAAAACAATGATTTAATTCCTGACATTTTCATATTTATACCTTTTAAACCTTCTCTGGACTTCCACAAATAATTCAAGACCAAAATTAGCCAAATCGGTCTAGCCGTTCTCGAATTTTAGCGAGACTAACGAACAGCAATTCATTTTTATATATATATAGAAGATAAATTATTGGTAGGGCAACAATAACATGTCTGTTTTCTCTACCTAATCCTTAATAGCGTAAGGAACTGTTCCGATTACGCGTATACTGGTAAGTGAGCTCACGGGGCTCAACTTGCGAGAACCAGCTAACACTAAAAGCAAAAGCAGTGCTTCCCTGAATCCACTACCTAAGCGACACCACTTATCCTGTCAATATCGCTTCGACTTAAAGAGGTGGTATTACTCTGTGGTAGTGGTACGTTTATAATATCTATGGGAACCGCTAACGACGTAACACCCGGCGGTTCGTGAGCTCGTTGACTTAACTACAGCATTTAAAATTGACTATTTTAGTTTGCACTAAAAATGTTTATACAGGTCATTTAAAATGAACGACATTGTATGGAGAGGTTGTTAAAATTTTGTGACTTGAACGTCGCCTCAGCCATTACAAGAACTTAACTTTGTTAATAAAACGTTGTTTGTACTTGTACTAGAGTCAGTAGTGGCATGAGAACAGCCGTTATTTCAGGGCAATTGAGTTTTCAACCTCACATTTCAAAGTAGTATGCAAAATTCGCGTTTTTATTTCATAACTTTTGGTAAATTCATGTTTTGTTGTTTAATTTGTAAGTACGAAACACCTGGTTTTTTTTTATTGCTTAGATGCATTTATTAGTTTTTTATTTTTTTTATTGCAAACGGAAAAGCATTACTGCTTCACGGCAAAAATAGGCGGGGTGGTGGTACCTATCCGTGCAGACTCACAAGAGGTCCTACCACCAGAAAAAATTGTTATCAGTGGATACCAAAGTCTATGGCACAGGTAGATACCGCCACCCAGCTTGTTTCTGCCGTGAAGCAATAATGCATTTCGGTTCAAAGGGTGGGGCAGCCGTTGTACAACTGAGACTTAAAACTCATGTCTCAAAGTGGGTGACGGCGTTTACGTTGCTGATGTCTATGGGCTCAGATAACCTGGAAGGCCGGGAATTCCTCCACCATATCTAAGCAAAAATAAAACTAAAATGAATGCTATAGACTTCGCAACGCCAATGCCCTCACGCACTCTGAAATAAGTTTTTTTTTTTGGTAGCCCATATCAGGATCTCCTATTTTTCAACCTTATTTTCAACTTAAACAGTGTGCTTAGTGCGAGTTTTTCAGCGTTAACTAAAATTTTTATGGAGTTAGAACGTTTTCTTACGTTTGCCGCTAGGAGTGCTGTTCCAACTGCATACGAATTGAGTTAACTTTTACGGCATCGAGAACGTTAAAAAACTCGCACCAAGTACACAGATAGATAGCGGTAGGCAGCGGCTTGGCTCTGCCCCTGGCATTGCTGAAGTCCATGGGCAACGGTAACCACTCACCATCAGGTGGGCCGTATGCTCGTCTGCCTACAAGGGCAATAAAAAAAAATAAAAAAAAAAATAGAGATAGATATCACCGAATTGAAAAGTAAGACAGCTTTATATGAAAATCCGACATCATATCTCAAGCCACAGCTATGGCTCTTAATTTAGATCGTAAGTAGGTTTCATCACTAAGAACAACAAGAAATTGTTGAGTAAGAACAATACTTTCTTATTTGTGCTATTTTAAAAACATCAATTTCTTTTTATTAATTGTATAATAACGATTAGCGGACGAAGCAAGAACGGTTGGTTGTTTTATATCGATCGTCGAGTCGTGCCAGTCGGTCACTAGCCTTACACTAGCATATCGATTCGCCGCAAACCTTTTAACCCCACCTTATTTTGGGAATCATATACCTACTTCGAAGTTCGCACGCACTGAATAGTTAATCTTATGTTTATGGATTTTGAAAAAGGAAATTCTATGATATAAGTTTTATACAATTAAACAGTTTGTCTAACTCATTCGCAGGGAAAAAATTTGATATGTTCTATTATTGAAGTCATACATATCTAGTAAATCCTAATATATATCTTATTCTATTATATCTAAAGACATTTTAGATCCAAGATGCCGTTATTTTTATTTCATTAGGTATAGCTCACAGCGGACTTTAATTAACCTTTAACTACGGCCGTCAATGTACGAAGAAGCGAAATTTTCGTGAGATATATACAAACATCCTCTCCGTCCAATCGTAAATGAAATAACATGACAATATATCATAGGGCTTATTTATATTCAATAATTTAGATTGATAAATTAGTTTAATCAGATGTAGACTTCAACCAATATCATTAGAAGTTCAAAAACAGACGCTAAATCCAACAGAAAATTACAATAAGCTATTAAACATTACAATTAATGTTAAGAGGAATCACTTACATAAGTAATTACAACAATAATCTCAGGAACGATTTGAAATACCCAAAAGTAGCACATATTAAGTTTAAAAAACAAAACATAAATAATGTTATATATTTGGTAACACAAGAACGAATTACAATGTCTACTAATTATATCGTGAAGTTGTAAATGTTGTCAAACATAACAGCATTATCGATTCAATCGGGCCTTGGATTGGAAGTACCGCACGTGTTCCACTCCGTTTATATCGATTGATACGTCACCAGCTTGGTCACTACCCTAAATCAAACATATTGATTTTGTCACTAGCGTTTACAAGCTTAGTGCCTTTCAATGTATTGAACTCTTAAATACCAATCACGCGCTACTTTCATGTACAACTCAATTAGGTATGAATCGTATGCATCATTCTTAAGAAATACCGAACAAACTGAACTGTACTACTGTAAGCTTTATTGTAAAATAATTAAAAAAACAAAA